ATATTAAGTTTGTCATTCCGTTTGTAAAACCTCGAAATATATATTTCAGACCCTACAAAGTACATATATACTATTGATCAGCATACAATTCTATGTCGATTTAGCGATGTCCGTCCGTCTATCCGTCTGTGGAAATCACTCTAGCTTCCGAACGAATTGAAGTAGATTGATAAAATTTTACTCAAATGTATGTTATGTCTGCAGGACTTTTGGTATTGAAAATGGGCGATGTAGGTCTAGGTTTTTGTTAAAGTCTCCCTATAACGGTACCTCTCGATATTCGGTATTTTGATGATTTTAGCGACATTATTTGCCGAAATTGTTTCAAATTTGGTATTTGAGGTTCGTAATGGATACTTCAGCCTGAGACAGAAAATTGCCTGTGCCGGTCCACGTCTTCGTATAGCACCCATATAACGGTACCTCCCGATATTCGGTATTTTGTTAATTTTAGGGACATTATTCACCGGAATTTTTTCAAATTTGGTATTTGAGGTTCGTAATGGATACTACAGCGTAAGACAGGAAATTCGTATAGCCCCCATATAACGGTACCTCCCAATGTTAGGTATTTTGATTTTAACTACGTTGTTACCGATTTTTTTATTAGTTTCGAATTTGAATATTGTAATGGCTTAAGACAAATGTTACCTATACAAGTCCATGTCGTCATATAGACCTTAATATAATAGCTACGTTTGGCATTTTTAAGATTTTTACAGAATTTTTTAAGGGATTTTGTTGTTTTTGGGAATTGCCAAATACGTTCCAAATGGTGGAGGGTATTCAAATTTCGGCCCGGCCGAACATACAGCCTTTTTACTTGTTCTTTTTTTTAATTTTATTGAATGAAAGCAAAAAATTTTGGAAATAGCATCAAATTTTAGAATGAGTTTAGATTTGTTCGAATTGGCCACGTTTGGCACGCATTATGGCCTTCAAACGGTTTGCGTGCCCAAGGCTTTTGTACATCCCCCCAGAATGTTTTCGCGATAACATTCGGCATTTATTCTGATGTCGATGACTACGAGCGGAGAGCGGCCATCGACTATTATGGCGGCCCACACCATCACCATGGCCGACGTATCAGTTCTGGTGGCCAACCGAAGGTGCAAATTTTCAGCTGACCTCTTTGGCAAGTAAACACGATCATTTTGTTTGTTTACAAACTGCTGGACTACGAATGTTTTCCCAACGGAGAAAACCAAATTCGGCAGTTCACCACTTTCTGCCAAGCGAAGCAACTGTTTAGCTCTTTTGATTCAATTTTCTTTCTGTTGCAGTGTAAGTTCTGGCACTTTTTGGAATTTCAATGACTTTACCCGAGCTCATTTTTCAATATTTGCCGAATGGGATATTGCGATATGTTCAGCTAACGAGCCATTTTTCGGCCACTGCGACGCCGGTTTCCATCAAGTCGCTTCTCTACTTTTCGAACCATTTTTGCTGATGTTGTTGTTTTCTTCCGTCCGTTTCCTTGACGTCGGGCTACGCTACCAGTGCCACGGTAGCTAGCGATGGTACAAGACACAAAAGATTTATTCACTTTTAAATGCTGGAGTGCTCTAACGATAGCCACTTTTGGTTTTCAGCCAAATATAAAGAAATCGCACTATCACGCTTGAATTCCTTCACGAATAACTTTTTTTCTGGAAAATTCTCACCAAAATGTCTGGACTGGTGGCTTAGAAAGACAGCAGTCGGAAGTTGGTTGCAGTTTTTGTATCTCACTCTGTAGAGGCTATACTGAACGTGTACTAAAAATGTATGCTGCATAAATATATTGAATATTGGCAGGTTGCGTTAAGTGAGGCAATACCAAAAGGATTATGTTGCACTTGTGTCAACAAAGCTCTCTGGTGCGGGAATTAGTTGAAATGCAAGAGATGGCTTTTGTTAAATTCCAGCGAACTTCTTAATTACTTCGCTGTTAACATCGTCAACCAATCGTCCATCAAAAAAAAAAATAAAAAACAAAAAACGCATCAAACCTATTACAACACAAATGCAAATAAAGCTTTCATTAATTTAATATGTTAGGAAAAAAATTATTGCAAAACTTATTTCAGGGGCATTATTCTAAGAAGGCATATCAATTGAAAATTACTTGATAAATATAAGGTATCGACTTCTTTGTAGCCAAAGAAACACTACTTATATCGAGTGGAATATCCTTGTTAAAGTAATGAATTTGTAATCCGATTTGTAATGAGTTATTTACTGGGATCACAACCCCACCCTAAATTCATCGTCATGTAGCCACAACCCCATTATTATTAGTCTCTCACCAATATGTCCAAATCTCATTGTACCTAAGTTGTAAAAATGTTATGTCCATGCTAAACATAGATATTTCTTCAAATACCTTATATTAAGAACTTGGTTTAATAGTGTGATTTCCCCTACATTTGCTTTTCTTACTCCTTAATTACCTATGACTGACTTGTTCGACTAGTCGACCATGTTCAAAAAACCAACATTCCATATTCATCATCTTTCCAAAATAGCAACCACTAGCAACTTTATTACATATTTTCCTCTAAATGTCCTTCGAATAGATTTATTGCCCATCTAAGCTGTTTAGAGAGAAAGCGTACAGCAGCAACAACAACATCAACGTCGCGATGAAAAACGAAGCCTCATATTTCAGCAATGTTCAATATCTCATCAAATGTAATGTCTTGTCATTAATAACATCAAATAAGTTCGCAGCCACTTGTCTATGGTTTTGTTGGGGGCTTATTAAATCAAATCGGTTTGTTGCTGGGAGACTGGGCTAGCTGTTCGTCGTTGTTGGCGATGGTGGTGGGGGATATATTTATTTACTTGTCCTTTACTTAATAAAAATCCAAAATGAACAAACACATAGTTATTATTGCGTGTTTGTCACTTGTCAACGGCCAATGTCGTCAGTCAGGCACTCAGTCAACTAGTCAGTCAAACATTTAGCCAGTCAGTTACTTTGTTGGCTGCCCAGCTGAGGTGGTTACAGACTTTGTTGCCTTATGAAAACCAAAATTGATTGGAAATACACACACAAACTCTGTATATTTGCTGTTGAAGTCGTTTGGTGTTGGAGGCGATGCTGGTAGCAAAATGTCATTAGAAGAAATTATTTTATGTTATGACAGCCAATACACTGGATTACATGAAACACACCAAGTTCGAAAGTATGAGTTGTATTGTCAGTTATAAAAGATGAGTTGTTGGTTGTCTTTTTAAAATCTAGAGGTAAGGACAATCTAGAAGTTTTATTTGATTGTTGGGTGGGAGTTAAAGTGGGTTATTGGAATTTATTTGCCAAACTTGGGCCAGATCGAACAATACATTTAAAAGTTATCGTACCATACTAGCCAGATAGACAGACGAAGGAACATGGCTATAGCCTTGCCATGTTCCTTCGTCTGTCTATCTGGCACATGTTCTGTAACATGTTTCCTTCAAGCTTAAATTAGATCTGAACCCAGTATTTCGATAAGGGATGTTTTTGATTGTATCAAAAGATGTATCCATTATACAATGTGTGTACATTAAATTTTCCATTCCGTTTGCAACACTTAGAAACTATCGTCGATATCCGTCTGTCTATTGAAATCACGCTTTGAAATCTGGCACAACGGTTTATATTATATGCGAGCTGATTGCTATTGAAAATGGGCCGTAGTGGTCCACGTTTAGGTGTAGCCCCCCATAAAACAGTATCTCCAGATTTTTTTAGGCTTCTGCCGCAATTTTTAACCAAATTAGCTGAAACCATACACTTCGAGTTCTAAGTAGATCTATTCTCTCCCTGAAGAAAATATTCGCTACAGGTCTTCTAATTGCCCTCCCGATTTTCGATTTTTAGAAGGTCTCTATCACAATTTCCAACAAAAAAAAGCTAAATCTTTATACTTGGGTTCCAGGTAGGTCCATTCTCTCCTTGCAAAAAATGTACGATTTTGGTCCACCAATTGATATAGCCCCTATATAACGGTACCTCCCGATTTTTGGTACTTTAAAGGTTTCTACCAACACTTTTCAACCAAATCAGGTAAAACTAGACAGGTATGGTTTACGGAAGGTCTCTTCCCTCCCAGAAAAAAAAAATCGCCACAGGTCAAAATTTTCGGTATTTCGAAAGATTCTGTCAACAATTTCCATCCAAATTAGCTGAAACTTTACACTTTGGGTTCTAAGTTGGCCCCGTGAAGAAGAAATATTCATCACAGGTCCAATAATTGGCATGGTCCGTGTATAACGGTACCTCCGGATTTTCGTTATTTTGAAGGTTTCAGCCACAATTTCCAACCAAATTAGCTGAAACTTGAAAATTATGGTTCTCGGTAGGTCTCTTCCCTCCCTGAAAAAAATATTCGCCACAGGAAGGTTTCTGCCACAATTTCCAACCAATTCAGCTAAAACTTGACAATTATGGTTCTCGGTAGGCATGTTCCCTTCCTGAAAAAAAAACCCTAGATCTCTATAGACTGAATCCGTTTCAGGACATTTGGAGTCGATCTAGCGATGTCCGTCCGACTGTCTGGGTGGTGCACACTATAACTCTCGAAGGGATTATCCGATTTGGATCAAAATTGGTACATCGTAATATTATTATCAAACTTAGATCGAGTTCGGAAATTAGCAATACGGTCCACTGCTTTCAGTACCTTCGCCACATAAGGTCGAAATTAAAAACAAAAAACTATTTTATTGCAAATAAAGTGAAAGGATAATCCGATTTATTCCAATTTTGCAAATATTAATATTTGCATCAGTACTAGATCAGATGCGAAAATGGAAAATATCGATCTACTCCATCAAGTAACTCCCCCAATAAGGGTCCACATTTTTGAAAAATTATAACTCTTACAAAATGTGACGTAAGGGCCTGATTACCTCAAGTTTTGATGTGGAGATGGAATATATCGGCCTACTCCTACCCCACAACAGTTCATAGTTTTGAACAGCCACAAAATCGAAATAAGGATTAGATTCTCCCATTATTTCTACTGTGACGACGTGTTTTCACTTTGAAGCTGGGGTAGGTTCAGCGGGGGCCAGAGTCGTCACAAAAATTTATTTGTTAGGACATAAAGAGAGAGAGAGCGAAGCAAAAATATTTTCTTAAAACGTTATAAATTTATTTCCTTAAATAACACTAAACACTACACTAAACACAATAAAATCACGTTCAGAACGTTTTACGAAGAACACTAAATCACAAAGTTCAGTCGAAATGTTAATAAACGGGTAGCAGTGGTGGCAGCTTGGCACAGCGGCGGCCCGATGAATAGGCGAGCGACGAATAGAGTGGCGGCAGCTTGGCACAGCGGCGGCCCGATGAATAGGCGAGCGACGAATAGAGTGGCGGCAGCTTGGCACAGCGGCGGCCCGATGAATAGGCGAGCGGCGAATAGGGTGGCGGCGGCTTTGGCACAGCGGCGGCCCGATGAATACGTCAGCGGCGAGTAGTAGTGGCGGCAGCTTGGCACAGCGGCGGCCCGATGAATAGGCGAGCGACGAATAGAGTGGCGGCAGCTTGGCACAGCGGCGGCCCGATGAATAGGCGAGCGACGAATAGTAGTGGCGGCAGCTTGGCACAGCGGCGGCCCGATGAATAGGCGAGCGACGAATAGGGTGGCGGCGGCTTTGGCACAGCGGCGGCCCGATGAATAGGCGAGCGACGAATAGAGTGGCGGCAGCTTGGCACAGCGGCGGCCCGATGAATAGGCGAGCGGCGAATAGGGTGGCGGCGGCTTTGGCACAGCGGCGGCCCGATGATTACGTCAGCGGCGAGTAGTAGTGGCGGCAGCTTGGCACAGCGGCGGCCCGATGAATAGGCGAGCGGCGAATAGGGTGGCGGCGGCTTTGGCACAGCGGCGGCCCGATGAATAGGCGAGCGGCGAATAGGGTGGCGGCGGCTTTGGCACAGCGGCGGCCCGATGAATAGGCGAGCGGCGAATAGGGTGGCGGCGGCTTTGGCACAGCGGCGGCCCGATGAATACGTCAGCGGCGAGTAGTAGTGGCGGCAGCTTGGCACAGCGGCGGCCTGATGAATACGCGCACGCCGAATCGGGTGGCGGCAGCTTTGGCACAGCAGCAGCCCGATGAGTACGTCAGTCGCCGTCAACGCAGCCCGAAGAATAGGGAGTATTGCTACAGCCCTCACTTGACCCTGCGTTCAGTCGCCGTCAACGCAGCCCGAAGAATAGGGAGTATTGCTACAACCCTCACTTGACCCTGCGTTCAGTCGCCGTCAACGCAGCCCGAAGAATAGGGAGTATTGCTACAACCCTCACTTGACCCTGCGTTCAGTCGCCGTCAACGCAGCCCGAAGAATAGGGAGTATTGCTACAACCCTCACTTGACCCTGCGTTCAGTCGCCGTCAACGCAGCCCGAAGAATAGGGAGTATTGCTACAACCCTCACTTGACCCTGCGTTCAGTCGCCGTCAACGCAGCCCGAAGAATAGGGAGTATTGCTACAACCCTCACTTGACCCTGCGTTCAGTCGCCGTCAACGCAGCCCGAAGAATAGGGAGTATTGCTACAACCCTCACTTGACCCTGCGTTCAGTCGCCGTCAACGCAGCCCGAAGAATAGGGAGTATTGCTACAACCCTCACTTGACCCTGCGTTCAGTCGCCGTCAACGCAGCCCGAAGAATAGGGAGTATTTCTACAACCCTCACTTGACCCTGCGTTCAGTCCAGTCCAGTCCCCACAAATAGTCAAGGCTTATTGTTTGGCTTACTAAGACTCAATTCAACCGAGGTTGCGCGCCTTTTCTTCCTCCCAATCACACTTGACTTACCAGCCATCAACAGAAGACTGATCCCGATTGTGTGAAATGCGTCTCCTTTTATACCTTTTTGGCTGGACAACGATTGTTGTTTTCTCATGACAGCAGCTGATCCCAATCTGACAGTTTTGCGTAGTTCCGCCATTTGCCACCAGGGGTTCCAATGTTGTATTTTAAGTATACTTCTTTCTACTAGGGGACGTGAGTAAAAATGGTATTTAAAATAATAATGTACCCCAAAAACGAAAGCATGACTTTTGGGCGTTACATGGCATCTCTTCCTCCCTCTGATTTTTGATTCCTTGATTTGCTTTCTCTATTGCTATTGGGTTTCAATAGCCAGGAAGCCCTAGGGTGTTATGTAACCTTTTATTTCTCCGACATGGGCACTTTTGTTCGACTATATCTCGGTCGAATAGGAAGGTATGTTAGAGACCAATTGCAGAAGTTCGGAGAGATACCTTCACTACCCCGTCTGCTGATATTATTATGCGGTACTGCTTGCCATCTTGTTTTGGGCTTACGGTATTGATTTGTTCTCCTCTTTCGGCTGGTACTAGGACCTTCGTCTAAAAATATTGTCCTTCGCCTTTGAGCCTCGACTTGTTCCAGATGAGCTCGAAATTTCTCCTTCGCCCGTTTGAATTTTTTCGTGTTGGGGCTATCTTGCTCCATCGTGATGTTGAAATTTTGAGAATTGCGATGGTCTTTGAAGTATGGGCTTATATTAGGACACTGATTAGTTTGGGTATTGTCAATTTAATGTCTAAAAATAAAATAAGAAATTATAATGAAATGGCATCACATAAACGTAAGTGGAACTACAATCAACATTCTACTTCTATGTCTACAATTTAATTTTGTTCTTCATAAAAAGGCTTAATTTCACTTAAGTGCGCGACGCGGGTGATGTTGTCTTTTCCTCGGACTACAACGATTACTGGAGATTGGAATTTTTGTACGACAAACGGCCCTCCGTATTTGGGCGCTAGTTTGGCGGCGAAATTTTCGACGGCCTTCGACTGAGGATGTAGACGAACTAGAACTTGCTCCCCAATCTTTGGTTTCCAAACTCGTCGTCTAAGGTTGTACTGTCTCCGCTGGTTTTGAGATGCTTTTGCCAAGTTTCGACGCACTATCTTAAATATTTCTTTCAACTCCTGGGCACGGTCTTCTGGTAAGACTATTCTAGCACCAGTTCCTGTTGTGAGCTGATCATATAATGCCTGGGGCAGTCGCGGTTCTCTTCCTTGTGTCAGGTATGCCGGCGAATATCCAGTGGATTCTGATGCACTAGTGTTTATGGCTAACATTATTTCGGGCAGCATATCGTCCCATGTATTATGTTGTTTCGAAACTTGTGCTATCATTGTTTTCACTGTCCGATTTGTCCTTTCAGTAGGGTTCTCTTGCGGGGTGTAAGGAGCCGTAAGTTGATGCTTTATACCCATTTCTGCTAGGAATTTTTCGAATTGGTTGCTAGTGAATTGGGTTCCGTTATCGGTTATCAATATTTTTGGAACCCCATATCTAGAAATAATTCTTTCTCTGCATGCCTTTATTAATCCCTCTGTCGTAGCCTTCCGCAATGGAACCAACTCCGTCCATTTTGAGAATCTATCCATAATAACGAGTAGCATTGAGTTACCGTGCTTAGATCGCGGTAGGGGTCCTACGAAGTCCGCACAAATAGTGGCCCATGGTTCCTCCGGGATTCTTATCAACATTTCCCCTGCTGGTTTCTGTTGGCTGACTTTATATTTTTGGCAACATTCGCACTGCTGGACATAACGTTTGATGTCCTGGAACATACCAGGCCAAAAATATCGGTTCGCCACCTTGTTGCTAGTCTTTCGCACTCCCAAATGACCTCCGGTGACACTGTCATGATTTTCTCTAAGGACCTGAATCCTTGATCCGGTGGGCACACACAGCTTCCATGGTGTGCAATCTTCATCGTTTATTTGCTTGGGAAAATGTCGATAAACATTTCCCTCAATGATTGTATAGTCTGGATACTTCTTCGGATTCTTGGTTATGGTTTCCTTCAACTTTTCTAGCCATGGGCACGGACTGGTGTCATATTTTACTGTGGCTAGGTCTAACGTTTCCAAAGGTGTTCTCGAAAGCGCATCCGCCACAACGTTCTGTTTTCCTCTACGGTATCTGATCAAAAAATTATATTGCTGTAGCTCGAGAGCCCAACGTGCGAGTCGACCTGTAGGGCTTTCAATAGAATTTAACCATTTTAGGGCCAAATGATCGGTAATAACTATAAACTGGTAACCCTCTAAATAGGGTCTCATGTGTCTAATGCCCCACAGTATGGCTAGACATTCCTTTTCAGTCGCTGAGTAGTTCTTTTCAGCCTGTTTTAAATGTCTGCTGGCGTAGGCTATGACACGTTCCACGTTATCTAACTCCTGTGTTAGAACTGCTCCAAGGCCATAGTTGCTGGCATCAGTTTGCAATATGAACGTCTTTGTGAAATCCGGACAAGCCAGAACGGGGGCTTCAGTTAACTTTGCTTTTAGGTCTGAGAATGCTTCTTGTTGTTCGGGACCCCATTTCCAGTGTTTTCCCTTTTTAAGAAGACTAGTCAATGGTTGTGAAATTGTTGCAAACTGTGGGACAAATCTTCGGTACCAAGATGCTACTCCAAGAAATCTTCGTACCTCCTTTACCGATGTTGGAGGTTTCATTTCCACTATTGCGGCAACTTTATCTGGATCCGTCTTTATTCCCTCGCTACTCACAACATGGCCTAAATACTTCGTTTCTTTTCTGAAAAATTCGCATTTCTCAATGTTTATTCTCAGGTTAGCTGATCGCAATCTTCTGAACACTTCTCTCAGGTTCCGCAAGTGTTCCTCAAACGTTTTTCCAATGACGATGATATCGTCAAGGTATGCAAAAGCGTGGGGGTCCATTTCAGGCCCAATCACACTATCTAATGCCCGTTGGAAGGTTGCCGGTGCTGAATGCAAACCGAAAGGCATCACTTTCCACTGATATAGACCTTTACCAGCTACCGCAAAGGCCGTGTATTTTCTGCTCTCCTTCGCCATAGGTATTTGCCAATATCCGTCTTTAAGGTCCAGGCTACTCACGTATTTGGCATCCCGTAGTCGATTCAGTATTGTGTCGATGCGGGGTAAAGGGTAGGCATCTGGAACAGAACGTTTATTCAATTGGCGAAAATCCATACAAGTTCTCCAATTCCCATTTTTCTTTCTGACTAATGTGATGGGGAAACAGTATGGGCTTGTAGACGGCTCTATACATCCTCGTTCTTCGAGCTTTCTCACTTCGGCATTAATCACGGCTTGCATTGCAGGATTTCGCGGAGCATATCTTAATTTAATGGGTCGATCGTCGGTCATTACAATCTTATGTTCAGCTATTGACGATAGGCCATTTAATTGTTGGAACTTAGGGAGTTCCTGTGCCAGAAAATTTTCAACGATCTCACATTGCGTTTTACTCAATTCATCGTTTAAGAATTTAGGTCTGGGGGATACATTATTCGTAGCTGTCATTGTATCTATTACCTCTTTTGATGGGGTTTCCTCTCCTATAGCCACGGTACAATGCTCCGTTGATGTGGTTGGCTTACTTAATTTGACACTTATACCGGCGCAGTGAATGGTCGTGTGGAACTGTTTTAGAAATTCCAATCCCAATATGATGTTTTCCTTGAATTGCGGCATGATGAGAAATGTAACATCTGAGCTTTGGTTTCCAAATGTAACAGGTAACACTGTTGATCTTGTGATGTTCACCGTGGTGCCGTCTGCGAGGATAACATTTGCCTCATGCCGTGAATAAGTAAACCTTTTCTTGATTTTTTCCGCAAATTCTCTTTTTATAAAACAGCTAGTGGCACCAGTGTCGACAGTTGCTTTAATAGCTTTCCCCTCTATTAAGACAGTTGCAGTAAGGCGATATTCTTCACATTGCAATGATGTACTATTCTGGTTACTCTTCTTTGCCGGGGGTTCATCCTGCTGCGTTTCTGGATTGGATGAGCTTTCGTTTAGCACTTGGTCACCTTGATTGGTGCAATACAGGTTATTTCTAGAGTTGTCCGCACGTCGATTATAGTTTTGTTGATTTCGAGGCTGTTCTGACCGAGAATTATTTGGTATGCTTTCGAGTTCGTCTGCCAAGGAGATCAATTCCGAAAGTGTGGTAAAGTCTTTACGGCGAATGTACCATTGATAATCCGAATGCGCGTTTCTAAAAATTCGTTCCAATTTTTGTTCTTCGGTCATATTGGTGTGCTGCATAAGATGCTGTATAGAGAGTACATATTCCTTAAACGGCTCCTTATTACGCTGTATCCTTCTCCTAATTTCATCCTCCAATTTCTCAAAGTATCTCGGTGGCAAAAAGAATTTCAGAAAATCACTCTTAAATTCGTTCCAGGTAGTCCAGTGTCGGTTGTTGTTCCTTAGCCAGATTAAAGCTTTACCTCGTAACAACTCTGGCATTACTTTAATTATTTGATTCAATTCCACGATGTACATTTCAGCCATTTCTTCTACACGTTCTACGAATCCAATAGGGTCCATACCATTTTCAAAAGTAATATTCCATTTTCGGATTTGGTCGAGAATTACGAGTAACGACGAATTATTGGATGGCTTGGGCGGAGAATCTTTTTGAAATCCATATTCGGGGTTTGTTGGCGACATCTTCTGTACTTTTTGATCGTTTGTTACCCCTGTGCTTGACTCTCCATGTGACCTTTCCGCGGAAATGTGGGGAAGGGCGTACTCTGTTTTTATTGGGGATAATACTATTGCTTCTGCTCCACACGGTGTTACGGTTATAAGGGGTTGTTTTGTGACGGCTCGCAATGTCGGCGATTTGGTCGGACTGGTACTTTCATGTTTGTTCTGCAACTCTATAAGCCGTCTGTATACATCGGCTTCATGGTCGTTGTGGAGAAATTTAGCCCATCTTTTTCGGAGATCGTCCACTTTTCCAACTGGATCAAGATTGAATTCAGTAAGATATGTTACCAAGTCTTCTTGCTTTAGCATATAGGCCCAGGAGACCTTCAACATTGTCTTTTCGTTTGACATTTTTTTTTTTAACTGTTTTTTTTTCACTGGGTTTTCATCGGTATTTGTCTAATTATTGTTCACTCATTTATTTATTCTTTCTCTCTTTCAAGTCCCTGCTCGGGCGCCATTGTGACGACGTGTTTTCACTTTGAAGCTGGGGTAGGTTCAGCGGGGGCCAGAGTCGTCACAAAAATTTATTTGTTAGGACATAAAGAGAGAGAGAGCGAAGCAAAAATATTTTCTTAAAACGTTATAAATTTATTTCCTTAAATAACACTAAACACTACACTAAACACAATAAAATCACGTTCAGAACGTTTTACGAAGAACACTAAATCACAAAGTTCAGTCGAAATGTTAATAAACGGGTAGCAGTGGTGGCAGCTTGGCACAGCGGCGGCCCGATGAATAGGCGAGCGACGAATAGAGTGGCGGCAGCTTGGCACAGCGGCGGCCCGATGAATAGGCGAGCGACGAATAGAGTGGCGGCAGCTTGGCACAGCGGCGGCCCGATGAATAGGCGAGCGGCGAATAGGGTGGCGGCGGCTTTGGCACAGCGGCGGCCCGATGAATACGTCAGCGGCGAGTAGTAGTGGCGGCAGCTTGGCACAGCGGCGGCCCGATGAATAGGCGAGCGACGAATAGAGTGGCGGCAGCTTGGCACAGCGGCGGCCCGATGAATAGGCGAGCGACGAATAGTAGTGGCGGCAGCTTGGCACAGCGGCGGCCCGATGAATAGGCGAGCGACGAATAGGGTGGCGGCGGCTTTGGCACAGCGGCGGCCCGATGAATAGGCGAGCGACGAATAGAGTGGCGGCAGCTTGGCACAGCGGCGGCCCGATGAATAGGCGAGCGGCGAATAGGGTGGCGGCGGCTTTGGCACAGCGGCGGCCCGATGAATACGTCAGCGGCGAGTAGTAGTGGCGGCAGCTTGGCACAGCGGCGGCCCGATGAATAGGCGAGCGGCGAATAGGGTGGCGGCGGCTTTGGCACAGCGGCGGCCCGATGAATAGGCGAGCGGCGAATAGGGTGGCGGCGGCTTTGGCACAGCGGCGGCCCGATGAATACGTCAGCGGCGAGTAGTAGTGGCGGCAGCTTGGCACAGCGGCGGCCCGATGAATAGGCGAGCGGCGAATAGGGTGGCGGCGGCTTTGGCACAGCGGCGGCCCGATGAATAGGCGAGCGGCGAATAGGGTGGCGGCGGCTTTGGCACAGCGGCGGCCCGATGAATACGTCAGCGGCGAGTAGTAGTGGCGGCAGCTTGGCACAGCGGCGGCCTGATGAATACGCGCACGCCGAATCGGGTGGCGGCAGCTTTGGCACAGCAGCAGCCCGATGAGTACGTCAGTCGCCGTCAACGCAGCCCGAAGAATAGGGAGTATTGCTACAGCCCTCACTTGACCCTGCGTTCAGTCGCCGTCAACGCAGCCCGAAGAATAGGGAGTATTGCTACAACCCTCACTTGACCCTGCGTTCAGTCGCCGTCAACGCAGCCCGAAGAATAGGGAGTATTGCTACAACCCTCACTTGACCCTGCGTTCAGTCGCCGTCAACGCAGCCCGAAGAATAGGGAGTATTGCTACAACCCTCACTTGACCCTGCGTTCAGTCGCCGTCAACGCAGCCCGAAGAATAGGGAGTATTGCTACAACCCTCACTTGACCCTGCGTTCAGTCGCCGTCAACGCAGCCCGAAGAATAGGGAGTATTGCTACAACCCTCACTTGACCCTGCGTTCAGTCGCCGTCAACGCAGCCCGAAGAATAGGGAGTATTGCTACAACCCTCACTTGACCCTGCGTTCAGTCGCCGTCAACGCAGCCCGAAGAATAGGGAGTATTGCTACAACCCTCACTTGACCCTGCGTTCAGTCGCCGTCAACGCAGCCCGAAGAATAGGGAGTATTTCTACAACCCTCACTTGACCCTGCGTTCAGTCCAGTCCAGTCCCCACAAATAGTCAAGGCTTATTGTTTGGCTTACTAAGACTCAATTCAACCGAGGTTGCGCGCCTTTTCTTCCTCCCAATCACACTTGACTTACCAGCCATCAACAGAAGACTGATCCCGATTGTGTGAAATGCGTCTCCTTTTATACCTTTTTGGCTGGACAACGATTGTTGTTTTCTCATGACAGCAGCTGATCCCAATCTGACAGTTTTGCGTAGTTCCGCCATTTGCCACCAGGGGTTCCAATGTTGTATTTTAAGTATACTTCTTTCTACTAGGGGACGTGAGTAAAAATGGTATTTAAAATAATAATGTACCCCAAAAACGAAAGCATGACTTTTGGGCGTTACACTACTAACACAAGAACTGATGTGAAGATGGAATATGTCGGTCCACTCCTTCTGGTACCTACCTACCTCCTCCATAGAGGGCCAACAATTTGAATAATTTTAACAAAAGTAAAAATATATTTAAGTAACCAAGATTGGCTGATGGTATACATCTGTCGGCAAAACCGACTGACACTTTTTACCTCGTTTTTTTTTTTTTTTTTTTTTTGATCAATACACATTATCTTCAAACATAACCTCATAATGACTTATTTTTAATTTTAGAAAATTACAATTATTGAAAATGTTTACTCTTTATTGAAAACGTAGACAGATCTAGAACATTTTCGTACGAGATGTACGTTTTGTACCGATGTTGGACTAAATCGATTATTGCTTCAAGAGTTATAGTGCCACTTTTGACTCTTTTTCTGGCAGCCTCCCCATTTTAAAAAAAGTAGCCCGTATTGATCCTCTTGGAACGTTATACTAATATTTTGATTTAAGATTAAAATTAATCGAATAATCCCTTCATTTTACCAAAGGGTAAATTTGGTCTGAACCAATTATTTCGATGAGTAATGTTTCTGATTGTATCAAATAATTTATGCCCCCTGTAGCCATTTTCTAAAACTACTAGGATTTTTTTCTATTTCGAGAACATAGCAAACGATATTAGAGAGGAAAAAGCAGCCATTATGTTCGCCAATTCCAACAATTCTCGCAAAATATTTGTAGTCAAGTGTAATTCCTATACCTTTTTATGTCCATCACTTCCATTGTGGTTGTTACCGTCATAACGGCAGCAGTCGCAACCCCACTCCACGCCAACAGCTGAAACAAAGTTGGAAAAATCTTATGACAACTTTGTCCAATTTCAATTTGACAAAATACATAAATCAATGTTTTATGTTTTGTTATTACTTTATTGTTGGGCTCGCTTGCTGCACCGAATACGACAAACAGACAATTGACGATCAAACGAACAGTAACAACAAACAAGCCACAGGCATCAGACAATCGAAAAGGCGGACAGACAGCCGACAATCAATGGTACTCACGTTTTATATGAGGAATTCCTTGTGAATGTTTTGATTTTGTTGTTTTATATTTTGTTCATGTTGTTGTAACTGCCAGCCTGACTGTTTGGCTTTAAGGTTTGAAGTTCAATGAATGTTTATTGGGCATCATGTACTTTGCCGCTGCAGTGACAACAAACATGGAGCAAAACAAAAAAAAAATCAAATCAAACCAAACTAAACTAAAACGTCGCCAACGACAGCCAACATAAACACGCTGAACCATAAATTATAAAAATTTAACATTAAAACATTGATAATAACAATAACAGCAGCAGCAGCAACAACAATCACAGCCAGTGACAAAAAATGTATTACACGTAATGTGTTGTTGCGCGGACCCTACACTAGATAAGGTACAGAATTGTAATGATGTCTGTCTGCCGTAAAAATAGGCAACAACAACAGCCTGGTCACCCATGTCCAGGCACTTGTTATCCACCGTTCGTGTTAAAGTTAATAGCGAGAATATTAAGTTGTTGACATATTAATTTAAACTAATTTATTTACCAAAAAAATTAAATCGACCATGGCGTGTCATGCTGATTGATATGCAAATGAAGTCATGTTAAATTTGAAACTTTTTTTTAAAAAAGCCTGACATGTTGAGTGGTCATGTTTAGAGGTTATGCTTTATAATGGTGCTATGAATTACAGGGCGATATACTGTTTAGAGAGAGAAAAAAAAATTCAAAAACAATTTTGTAATTCCAAAACCAAAGCCAAAATATGTGAATACTATCTATACGTGAAAGTGGACTCCCTCACAAAGGGACCAAATTTTGCATTATTATAACTCTTGAGAAATGTAAGATGATTCCTAATTTTTTCTGGGATCATGATACAAAAAGGTTAAGATTTTATCTGGTTAATGCCCACTCCTGTAAAAAACCAATGGCGAAACACGTCGCATTGTGGTGAGTGTGTGGTAGTGTCTCTCTCCTCTTATTTTCACTGTAAATACAGACCATTAAGCACGTCTAGAAAGAGATATGAACAAATGTAGCCCATTCTGTTGAAAGATGTGGTTAGGACCATCAAAATATCCACAATTATGAGGTTAGCGCTATGTTGGTGATATTTGACCATTTGTATAATATTTCGAAACACCGAATTACTTCGGCTGGAAAATATCAGCAGAACCTTAAAAATACATACAAACGTATCGTGCTACCAAGGGTCCCTGGGGTATGGGTTTTCTCTGGAGTGCTCAACTCTCTGACATTTAACAGTAACATGGAGAAGAAAACGGGGTAGACCCATAGTTACTTTTGTGGATCTTCAAAGAATAACTTTTTGAGTAGATTTATGCGGGTCAGTCCGTCCGTCTGTCCATTTGTTTTTGTGAACATATTGAGATAAAATTTTCAAACAATATGTGTTTGGCCCAAGGAAGAACTCTACTGAAATTGGTGAGAATCGGTTAAAATGTACTTAAAGCTCCCATATATATCTTCACTCGATTTCGGGTTATATTGCACCAAATGGCCAATATCACCCCAAATGTTGTGAATTTAAGCACATCCAACCGAATTCAGTCTAGAAGCAAGTGCATCAAACTTGGACATAGATCTCTTATATATGTATCTTCACTCGATTTCCGGTTATTGGCCAATATTAGTCCCAGTGACCCGAATTTTTGCACATCTAACCAACTTCAGTCTGAAGCAAGTGCATTACATT